CACCGATGGATACCTTCTTCTTCATAATGTCGTTCTCTTGTGCTGCAAGCGTTCCATACAGATCGTGAAGTGACCATCCTTCTAGGTCCTGGTTTGCTTGAAGGGACATAGACAGCTGAGTCCATTCATCGCCAAGACTTTTTAGGAATAAAATATTGTTTTCTTCCTTAGTTCTAGAGATATCGTTTCGACATTGATCAATGTGTTGAAACGATCGTATGTCTTCTGTATCGGTTCATCAGGAAGGGCCTTGAAATTTGTGTATTCGTTGAGACATTGCGCTCTATAATTTTTCTTTGTTTTTGCTCCTCCTTCCAGTTGGCTTGCCAGTTCATCACATAGTTCCTTGGCTGTGGAACATGCATCGAGGGATTGGAAGATTTCATTGGGTATGGCCATGATTATCAATCGTTTGGCCTTCTTGTCTGTCTCTGCCTTTTGTATGTCGTCTTCATCCCAATTCTTCTCATCCTTGGGCATATAGTAGGCATGAATTTCAGCTGTGGTGTTTGTTCCTAGAACTCTTGGGACAAGAGTTTGTGGAATATAAGGACCCTCCATTACAGATCACAGGAGGTTCCTGTCCATTCCTTCCAAGAAATTCACCATTYTTATCTTCCATTGTGGGTATTCTTCTCGTTGAAGAGTTGAAGGCTTGGTGAGGGAGCCAACACTATATGCAGAATTCCAGTTGGCCATTGAGAATTTTTGAAGAGAAAGATTTTACGTTTGAAGAGAGAAAAAAATTGAGAGATTTTARATGATCGTTTTGATTGAAGAACAATCAATTGGCTCTGATACCAATTGTTGATCCCAGATCTCTCAATAACAGTAATAATCGAGTTAAGAATAACCATATTATAGTGTTTTAATGAACAAAGTGATGAACACTCAAGAATAAATTATGAACATTAAAAAACAATCTTGAGCGTCAAAGATTTTACTTTTATTAATAAGAAAACCGTAAAAGAGACATTTAGTACAATAGGCCTAATCGCCTATTTATACTAGTAAGCTAATTAGAAGATAACTATCTATTGAGATTTTTTAGCTAATCTTCTATTAACAGATAATGTTTATGTAAACTATGGATAAGCTTTAATATTAAGATAAACTTGAAGTGTAGCTGTCGACTTGTCATCTCCAGCTGTTTTCCATGGTATGATGAATCAACCTTTTCTTTAAATCTTCATCGTATGCCTCTAGTTGAATTGCTGAAGAATTCTCTAAGTGTTGTTGACCAGAGGGGTGATGAAGATGCTCTTTCTATCGCATCCCTGGTTATTCATCGACCCTCTGGTTGTTCTCCAGACTTAGTCAATTCTGCCGTGATGTCTTCATCGGTCTTCTAGTTCTTCATCACTTATTGTTTTTCATTACTTTTACACTCTATGGATTATGGGGTCTAACATCGGGGCTGCCGAGAATGTATGTGTGATACCGATGGATTCTAGAACTGTGCAGAGTGTATTGTTCTTGAATTTAGTTCCGTTGGCAGCTCTGATTTTCTGAACTGGCAGTTGCAGATTATTTTGAACTGTCTTCAAGAAAGAGATAATTGTCTCAGCCGCTTCATCCTTTGACCTCAAAAAACGAACCCAGGTTTATCTAGAGTAGTCATCAACTATGACCAACACATACTTCTTTCCGTTAATGCTTTGGACTCGCATAGGACCACAGAGATCCATATGGAGGAGATGTAGAGGACGTTCGGTATTGAACTTTGTCTTCAGCTTATTTGAAGCTTTCTTCAGCTTACTCATCTCACATGTACTACATACATGATCTTTATGAAACTTTAGGTCTGGGATGCCTTTAATCAAGTTGTCACAAACCAACTTGTTCAAATATTTAAAGTTCAAATGAGAAAGATGTCGATGCCATAGCAGATTCTGCTTCAAGGACACCTTGGATTTCAAGCAGACGTCAGTATCTACTTGTGTGTTAGATAGGTCAATTGTGTAAAGGTTTGATCTTCTGATCCCAGCTAGAAGCTCCTTACCATTAGTAGTACGGATGTTGCACTAGTTAGCTTTAAAACACACTTCTAAATTTTTATCACAAAACTGACCTATACTAAAAAGATTATGTCCAAGTCCTTCGACATACGACACTTTCTTTATCATTAAATTCCCAGAAATTACGTCACCATATCCAAGGATAGACGCGTATTGATCGTTTCCGAATCTTACCATACCACCAAATTATTCAGCATAGTTAGATAATAAATCTTTTCTATCAGTCATGTGCTTAAAACATCCGGAGTCTAAGAACCACACATGTCGGTTAACCTGCAAAAGAGAATCAATTGGGTTTTAGTACCCATTTTAGATTGGGTCCTTTAAGCTCAGATCTTGTTGGTGGTATACTGTAAATACCAAACCAACGTTCTTTGAAATGAATTTTCTTAGATAAAGCAGTTAAAGACAAATGCATGAAATGATAAGGCTTAAAAGAAGTAAAAGACTTAAGTAACTCATTCAATCCAGACGGAGAACAATTATTTTTACCATTTCTAATATCAAACAATTCATCTACTGAATATCTTTTTACAAAATTATTCAATGCCGAATCATTTAATATAGACTTAGTAAAATTATTGTTCTTCTGTCGAGTTGAAGATTTTTCTTCTTCTTTTACCCTCCAAACCTTCTTAGCTTCAACGTGTTATTTGAAACAGGAAAAATAAAATCATCAGCTTTAAATGAATAATGAACTTTATGTTTATTTTTCTTATTAGTAAGGTTCTTCTGTTTCCTCGAATTCTTTTTAGTTTTAATATTTTTATAATACCAATTCTCGAAAACAGGTTTTTCATTAAAATTCTTTTCTAAATCTGAAGCTAAGTCAGAGTCCTCAGTCATTTCATTTTTGACAATGAAATCTTCATGACTGGGTAGTTTCTCTGAGAAGTCGAACTGATCAATCTCATTATCTAAACAAACTTTTGAATTCAAGATATTTGAAAAATTAATTTTTTCATTTAAAATATTTATTTATTTTGAATCAGAAGCTTCACTTGAAGATTTATTGCACGAGAAATACTCAGACTCAACTTGTTCCGGTTTAACTTTAAAATTTTGTAAATTTTCAATTTTATTTAAAAATTATTGCTTTTGTTGATTAAATGAAAGTCGTTCTTCATTTAAAATATTTTCCAACTGAACCACTTGTTTTTTTTTTTATTAAGCTGGATATCCAACCCGCTATGCTTTAGAATAGTTGTGAAAGTAATCAATTGAAAGTTCAAAGTCTTGATTTTTGTAGCTATCATTTAAGTTTTTATAATCAAACGGAACTTGCATCTTGTCTTTTCTTTGTCGGTTAAAATCTTCTCGTTGTTCTACCTCATCAGAAGATTTTGTAAATTTAATTGAAAACTCGGGTCTGCAATCAAGATATTCAAATTTATATAGAGTCGGGGTATAATATAAAGTTTTTCCTAAAAAATTTGAATTTTCGTACCCTACCCCTTCCCGAGGGTTAAAAAATCTTGTTTCAGAGGGTTTGTTCAGAAAAATTGTTTCATCAGTCTGCCCTTTCTTATATAATTTTTCTTCCTTAGACTTCAGTTTTTCATTTAATTGAATAATTTATAATTCAAGCTTACTAATTTTAACAATTATTTCTTCATTTACTAATTCTAACGACTTATATCGTTCCTTGGAATTAGATAGCCCGGTTTTTAAGACATTGGATTTTTCATTAGATATTTTAGATTCAGATAATAAAGATTTTGCCCAATCCAAATTTCCAGCATTTTCATCAAATAGTTTGATGTATTTTTCTTTTTGCATTTGTAATTCTTTTTCAAAATTATTTGAACGCAATTTTTCTGTTTTTTAATTGTTGCTGGAATGATTGGAGTTTAACCTCTTCTTCCATTTCAGCATTATGTTCTTCTCCTTCATCTGAAGAACCACTTTCAGTTCTCGCCATCAAGCATATGTGAGCTACAACTTCTTATTCTTCCTCCTCATCAGTTAAGTTTAACCAATGATCGTCTTCTGCCATCAACGCTTTAACCGCATCTCTTTGTTTCGAGAGAAGAAATTTGTTCTTGTAATAGTCGGTATTTCTCGTTACCGGCTTTCTGCAATTAACAACAAAGTGGCCTAGCTTGCCACAATTGTAGCACTTTGTATGCTCATCAGCTACGCCTTTGACAAATTTCTTCTTCTCTTCTGGCTTCTTTTCGTATTTCTTCTAAAATCTTTTCTCTTCATATTTCTTCTTCTCACTGAATTTATCTTTAAATTCGTATTTTGAGCCGAAAGAAGATCTCTGATTGTTTGAGTGCGGTCTTTTATGAAACTTCTTTTGGAATGCCTTTGTTAGCGTCGCCATGGCATGTTTGATTTCAGTCATTTCAGAGTCAGAATCATAACTGTCACTTCTTTCACTTGATTGGCTTATCTCCTTCACTTGCTTCCCATATCAGCTTTTCCCTTTCTTTTCAGATACAAAGGCTAAAGAATCAGCAACTTTCTTTTCCTTCTTCTTCTTAGAATCTCGGATCTCTAAAACTTCTTCCTCGTTCTGCTTCAGAGTTTCATAAACCTCATGTATGTTGATATCAGATAATGATTTGTTGAATCTAATATGGTTAGCATAAGGTTTCCACTCTCATTGTAAGTTGCTAAGGAATTTAACATTTATCTCTGTGACAGTTTTAGAGATTCCGTTCTTGTTCAACTTATTAAGCTATCTGGTAAGCCTATCATAAACATCGTCAAGGCTCTCTCCGTCTTTAGCCTTGAACTCTTCATAAGCAGATATACAATTAGTGATTTTTAACTGAGTTCCGACTTTGGAACCCATCACCATCTTTTCAATTTCAACCCACATGCTGTGACCAGATGATTTATGACTGTCAATGCCCGTGTAAATATCGTTGGTCAGTGCTTGCATCATGTAGGACTTGCATAACACATCAGCATGAGGTCTCTCCTTTTCTTCCGCAGTGTATCTGAACTTTTCTTTTATTACTCTTTGTACAGGTCTGTCTTCTTCAGGAACAGCAGGTGTCTCTCTGTAAAATACAGCAGGTGTCTATCTGAACAATATAGCAGGACCTTCCATCAAAGATTCCATGATCAGATCACCTTCTTTCATTCTCTCAATGAAGTTGAGGATTCTATCCCTCCATTGGTTATAGTCTCCTCTAAACAGTACAGGTGGCTTGGTGTCAGTACCAATAGCCATTGCCTCTCTTGAATTCATTTTCTCAGTTTAGTATGATATAGGATCAACTACAGTTCAAAATTTGAATTAAAGGATTAGGATTAAATATATATATATATATATCAATTAAATCACACACATGGATTTGCACTCATTCAAGACTCAGAAAAAATTAAGCACAAAACTTATCCGGATTAAAAATCCGGTCAAGCTTATCCGGATTAGAAGTCTGGACAAAAGAGATAGTCAAGAATTTTCTAATCAAACCAAGTTATCCGGATTAGACATCCGGACAACAAAGAGAATTAAGTCGCTCAAATCACAACCAATCCGGATGAGAAATCCGGTGAATTCAAACACTTAGTCAAATTTTACACAATTAAGAAATCTCAAAACGGACGATTCAAACACTTAGTTAAATTCACAAAAATGAATACAGACGTAAAAAGTCAACAAGTCAAATCAACTAAGTCAACAAGTCAATATACGTACAAATCCGCTCAACTAGTCAAACAATTCAAATCGCTCAATTAGTCAAAGATATTAAACCTCTTACAAAAGAAAGTCAAAATCCGTTCAACAATCCGTTCACAAAGTCAAAGTACGATCAACAATTAAATTGCATACAACAGTCCTATATAAATCGCTCAAATAAATCGTACAAATAACAACCGGATTACCAATAAATAGTGCAATGAATAGACTAAATCACACAAAGAATCAACTAAATCGCTTAGGACACAATCGGATTACCAACAAATCGTACAACAAATCAACGACTTATCAAGCTGATTAAGCTAAATCGGTCACTAAATCGAACAAGTAACAAACGATTTACCTATAAATCGATCAAGTCTTACCCGGTTTATCCTAAATCGCACAAACAATCAATTCACAGAAAGTTACAAGTCTTAAATCGAACAAGGCTTAGGCGATTTATACTAAACCGATCAAGAGTTATACGGATTTGAATTCAAGCAAAAACACAATTTTAACACTTTTTCACCAAAAATGGATCAAAACCTGCAAAAATATGAGTTTTTGAAGAACACAAACAGATTTCGTAAACTAAAAAATCGATCAAAAATGGTTCAAAACTTGATTAAAATCAATATCAATGTGAATCAAAGTTGTTCAGATTGAAATTGCGAATTCAGTAGTGCAAATTATATCAAATAACAATAAAAAATGATGCGATTCATGCCAAAATATGCAATTCTGGACGAAGAACTCCAAGAACAGATGAAGAACATATATGAACAGTCGTTTTAATCCTCTAAAATATGTGCAAAATCATCGAAAAAATTGGTTATTCTCTAAACAAATTGTTGTAGACTGTTATTTTTATTTTTATTTTTTTTGCTTTCTAAAAATAAAGGCTTCTGAACAATACAATTCAGGACCCGTGCTTTTACCGAGTGTGGTTTCTAAACACACAGTTTAGGATCCGTGCTTAAAATGTTTTCTTATTTTTTTAATTTTTTGAGCTTAACTGAAACATTGCTATAATCTACTTTCTAGGGGAAATCTCTAGAAGTTTAATAAATGTTTTTGGGAAGTGATTTTTTTTAAAACGAGTACATTTTCTGAACATGTATTTCCTGAGATTTTACTTGCGTAATTTCTTATCGTATATAACTCCAATACTTGTTTCAGCTATTCTTCAAACTGTTTTTATCACGTCTCTTATACGAAAATCATTTTCAGTGATAATACGCTCGTTTGTATTCAAAGGTTGTGTGGAGTCCAGATTTCATACAAATCTTGATGTGATCTTCATAGATTGATATGAACAATGATGAACACTAAAAATGATGTAAGTAATGATTAGATTGGAGAGAGAGAGAATTACATCAGCCAAATCTTGATTTCAGAATTAATGACAAAAGCTCTAATTACAATTACAAGGAAT